GCTTCCGGCTGAGAGCGACCGGAATTAACTAAATAAATTTTCAATAATTTTGAATGTTTAGTCAGATCAGCGCTCGAACCTTCCGAATGTTAGTCGTAATGCTAATCACTCGGATATTGTGGCTGCAAAGCTTAATAAATTAATTGATGAGTTCGAAAGGAAAATGATTGAGCTTTTTTGCAAAATGTTGTAGGAGTAACGGCTTAAAAAAAATATTGACTTTCGCGCCACCTATCGGTTTCAATTGCAAGCATTTACTAAACTCTTCTTTTACCATGCCGTGAACCCGATATTTCATTAACTGAACGTACCATCAATCGAAGAGCGCGGACTGACTTTTAGCGGGTTTTCTGAAATTAAATTGGTTATCTTATTAAGTATGTTATTAATAAACTTGTCTCTTTGTTGATATTTGAAACCGAGTATCGAGCTCAACTTTTTGGTCTAAGGTCAAAGGTTCAGATTGATCTTGTATCGACTGTGCGGAAAAAATTACTAAATATGATATTTGTTGCTTGACGAGATCTCCACCACAGCACTTAATATTCTCTTTTTTTTATTTAAATGGGCGGCCCATCGTAATTCGTTAAAAAAAACCAGTAAAATAAATAGAATAATTAAGAAATTGTATGCACCCGCTGCTCAAAAGACAAGGCTCTGAGGTAAATCGAGTATGAAATATTTCTCGCGCTCAGATCCCGCCTTTTCTTAAATAATATGCCATATATTGCCAGCGAAAGAGTTTATATTCCACATGTCCTACTATACGCGTCTATTTTTTTTTTTGTTTATATTCCTTAATAATCTCATTGCCGTATTTTCACACAACTCAAATAATTTCTGCCTCCCCATGCATTCATAATTGCCTTAAAGTAGTAGCAGCAGGCGGTTATGTGTACTATGAAACGTTTGGCAATCACCACTGGCATTGCCATTGTCGTCGTGCCTTACGTTGCTTGCTTTATTTGTATCTATTTTCTTCGCTTTAAATTTTTCTTTGCTGCAATTTTAATTTTTTTTCCCCTATTTTTTCATATTTTTTATTTATATCTTTTTTCCATTCCTAAATACTTCCTTATGCAGATATTAGGTTTAGTAAAAAGAAATCCATTATTTTTGCTTAAAATTGAATGGTTTAATTTTTTTTTCGTAACCCGCCTTATACAAATGGCTCCAAACGTTTTTTTGTGGAATCTTTAGCTGTTGGGCAATCGAAACAGTGCTTACATGACGGTCGGACTCGACATTTTCGACAATTGGCCTTTCGCTTCGTGAAGCATCTTCAACTTTAACTATCAACTTTCTAATGCCATCCAGCGGAACCCGAACAGACTTATACAACGCGAGATACAAATTAATAACGCAATTTAATATAAAAATAATGGATTTCTTTTTACTACACGTTATATATACCTATCTAAGTATGTGTTTATACCGAATATGCCTCATACATGCTTTGTTGCTCTTTCTCGTTACTGTTATATTTAACGCGATGGTATCGCGGCATGTGCATCCATTAAAAGGTGGCCTGTTGTCAGCTCTGTTGGAAATTGCTGTACCCACAGATCGCTTTATGGCAAACAGCGTGCAATAAATGAAAATGGATTTCCTCGGAATCCGTTGCTGTAAATGGAATTATAAGAAAGATGAAAGCTTCATAAAGAAATATAAATGTCTATTTAGAAAAGGCACCCTTTCGTTACGCCTGCTATACTATATTTGCTTCACTTTTTGAATTTTTTGGCAATCTTGTATCTGGTATCTACTCTTAATTTATTATAATCGCTTATAAAAATGCACTTTATCGCTCTTTAAGAGCCTTAAAATTTAAAAAATTTCTTTTTGCTTTGATTTTTAGATTAAAAATGCAATGTTTGTTGTTTGTTCGTATAAAAATTTGCTTTGTTGGGTATTTTTTGGCCTCGCATAGCCTTTCAAGGCTTCTAGGTCTGTGTCAAACCAATTCATAGTAGCTAATGCGATGTTTCTTCTTGTCATTGAAGTCGTTAAAGTGTCATTATGTGTATTCAGTTTAGTTTAGTATTTTGTTTTACGCTGGCTTACCTGAAATTCAAGGAAAAAAGTTTGTACCAAATTTTTGTTGTTTTTATTGTAATAGTTTTGTAATCAAATTTTCAACTTTGTAAATTTTCATTTTGTTTCGTGAAGGTTTAAAAGTAAAGAATTTGGTTTCGATCAGCAAAAAATCAGGATTGAACCAACGAAGGGGCACAAATAAGGAAACGAATGATTGAAACCACTTGTGAAATAATAAATAAATGAAAAAACAAGTAAAGGAAAGGCAGAAAGAAAAAATAAGTAATTCATAAAAAAGATAAATAGAAGAAAAAAAAAAATTTAAAAAAAAATAAATAAAATGAAATTAAAAAAAAAATAAAAGGAAATTAAAAAAAAAATAAAAGGAAATTAAAAAATANAACGTAAAAAAAAAATAAAAAAAAAATATCAAAACAAAATAAAAAAAATTTGAAAAGTTAAAAAAATGGAAAAAATAGAAAATTTAAACAAAATTAAAATAAAATTAAAAAAACTGGAAAAATTAAAAAGGGGTTAAAAAAAATAAAAATTAATGAAATTAAAATTTTTTTTTTAAAATTATAAAAATTTAAAAATTAAAAAAATAAATATAAAAAAATAAAATAAAGAACTCAAAAATTAAAAAAAAATTAGTAAAGTTAAAACGTTTAAAAAATTAGTTTAAAAATAACATGCTAAAGCAAAATTAAAAAGAAAAAGTAAAATTAAAAAATCAAGAAGTTAAAAAAATTATATGTTTTAAAAAATTAAAATGGACAAAATAAAAGTCTGAATAAATGAAACTAAATAAAAATGTTTAACTATAAAAAAATATATAAGTGATAAAAAAATTTAAATTAAAAAATAAAAAAATAAAAATTTATAAATAGGAAAAATAGAGATTTATAAATAACAAAAAAGAAAAGTATTTTTAAATAATAAAAAATAAAAAATAATACTTACATAAAACATAAATAAACAAAAAAAAAAAAAATATGAAGCAATAAAATATAAAAAAATAAAAATATGAAAAAATAAAATATAAAGAAATAAAATATAAAGAGATAAAAAAAATAAAATATAAAAAGATAATAAAATAAAATATAAAAAAAATAAAATATAAAAAGATAATAAAATAAAATATAAAAAAATAAAAAAAATAAAAAAATAAAAAAATAAAAAAATAAAAAAAAATAAAAAAAAATAAAAAAAAAATAAAAAAATAACAAAATAAAATTAAAAAAAAAAATAAAATACAGAAATAAAAATAAACAAAAATTAAAAAATATATAAAAAAATTAAAAAAAAATAAAAAAATTAAAAAAAAAAATAAAAAAATCAAAAAGTAAAACTAAAATTAGAAACAAATTTAGAAACAAAATTAGAAACTGTATTATATCAGACAATAATCAAAATTAAAAAAGGTTAAAAACCAAATTAAAAAAAAAAAACAGAAATGAAAAAAAAAAACAAAAATAAAAAAAATGAAAAAAAAAAACAAAAATATAAAAAAAGAAAAATTAAAAAAAAAAACAGAAATGAAAAAAAACAATGAAAAACAAAAAAAAGAACAAAAAAACTAAAATAAAAAAGTTTGGAAAATAAAAAAAATTAAAAAAATAAAAATTGAAAAAATTAAAAAAAAGGAAAAAAGAAAACTAGTAATAAAAGTAAATGATAAGAAGATTGATAAAAAGGAAAATATGACTATTAAAAAATTTAAAAGTAAACAATAGAATAAAAATATTGAAAAGAACAAGAACGAAAATAAAATGAAGAAAATAAATCTACTCCAAAAATAGCTCTTTCGCGTGATGATCGGCAGACATTATTTTTTCATTTGATCGGCTCAAGGTTGGTAGACTTTTCTCAGGGCTAAGATTAACGCCGTTATTCCAGTAATATGAATATATTATGCCTGCAATACAAATGATTGCGAACAAAAGAGAGAGAGAGAAAATTATGATTAACTAGTGTTTTTTCATACGTGCATTTGAAAGTTTTCTTTTCTTTTTTTCAAAGTTTATGTCAAATATCAAAGGGTGAAATTGTATGCTACATTAACACTCAACACTTAATTTTACATTTTAAATAGATGTAATTGGATGATATTTGACTTGACCGCATCAAAACAATTCAAAAGCACGCATTTATACATCAATCTATACACACACACACACACGCACACACTTACGCTCGAATAAATAAATAAAATGACATACCTTGTTTTTTTCTGTATCTATTCTCCTTTGCAATTATATGCCTGTATGCGCATACACACATATAATAGTAATTGAATATGCATGCAAATTCAGTCGTAAATGCCACACACACACACACACACACACACAACCACACATAAACTACAACCGAATGCCTGATTTGACATACGCATCCATTTACTATTATCTACTCACTTAAATAACGGTTTTATTGTCTGGTTGCCATTACGATATGTCAAATGAATGTCAATTATGTATTGACAATAGCCACTTTCGCTTTTGACATTTGATTTCTGTCAAAGTCATCAACTGACATACAAGTATATTTAAGCACAAATTTATTCTGATTTAAAAATACACATATGTATGTATGTATGGCATGTATACGTTTACGGGTTTCTTGCTGTGGTAATCAAGTGAACAAAAACGATGCTGGTTTCTATTAAATGTTTTGAGATTGAAGTGGTGCAACGAGTAGGCGGTTGAGTCTGCGCACACACCCCTTTAAGTGTCTGTAGTTGGCGTTTTGAGAATCATATTTAATGCTCGTGTATATGTTGAATATGTAGATTTTTAAAATTGTTTTTAGCTGGGACAACTTTAATACACTGCATACATGTATAATATTAGTAGGTTTTTTTTTTATTGATACGACTTTTTTTATGAAAATAAATTATTAACTGTTGTTGACTCAAATTAAATGAGACACTGTCATAAACCATTTTTTCATTTCTCTTCCAGGATCGCAACAACGCTCAACCATCCTGTGCTGGTCTTTTTGTTGGTGCCCATTTGGGCTTCGATTATCCTGGCGTCTGGATGCATGTTGATATGGCCACTCCAGTTGCATCGGTATGTATGCCAGATACTGTCAAATTAATAAACTAATTTTTTTTTTAAATATCCTTTGACTTCGAACGAGGTTTGATATGCCTGAAAGTATGCAACATATATGGAAAATCAATTACCGCATTGAAGTTTTTTGGTTTTGTACTAGGTAGACCCCAATAAAAGGCATTTTTTTATCAAGCCGAACCTAGTTGACTAATCAAGTCAGCGTTGTAGCCGAGCGGTTAGGATTTCGCACTAACATTAGGATTGCTAGTTTTTGAGTCCAGGTTCGATCAACACCCAAAATTATAGAAAATTAATTTTCCGACATGAAATAAGGAAGCGCCTCATAGAAATCCATCGGCCGTTCGAAGGCGGCAAAGAATCAACTATAAGTTGGTACTGTTTATGTAACCGCAAAAATATTCTTCAAAGTAATTTTTGGGGAATGTTGCTTGAGTAACAGTCCTTGGCCGGATAAAATATCCGGGTCGTTCCGGTATAAAGACCCGACTGTCACGAGAACTATTATATTTTAGTCGCATCTTACGACCGGCATGCCTTACCGCAGGAGGGAATAAACCATTTGTTGGAAAATCATTAATATACATACCTCAAATTGGAGGAGAAGCTCGACTGAAAATCGTTTCAACGGCGCATGGCATTCAAAGACGATTCTAATAATATTTTTATTAGGTTTTTATGTTGTTTCAAAACCGAACCATCGAATCGGTCCCAGAGATACTCCCTGGAAAATCTTTTCTTATCAGGCGTATGCAACATACGCAGAATACATCCTTCACTAAGTTTAAGGGGACCCTTCCTTGATATTAGGCAAAAATCAGGCAAAGTTTGTATTTTTTCTGTGGGAGATTGAAAAGGCGTACGAACTTCTGCGCGAAAAACAAGGCCCAACAACTTCAAGCCTACAGTCTCTTGTAGTGGATTGAAATCAAAAAATGTTATCATTACTTGAAGATCATGAAAAGAAGTAAGATCGAAAAACTTGTTTTCGAGAAAAATGCGTTCAAAGTTTTTTGAAAGTTTGCCTTGCGTGCGTGCGTGAGACAGGCGTGTTCGAGAAGCTGCCATTCGAAAAATATTCATCGTTTTGCAAAATTCCTTTAAAAACATACTCTACAAATATTTTCGATTTTTTGATTCAAAATCAGGGGAGGGTTCCCTTAATGTCCCTTCGATCAGTGGTTTAAGCTGTTCGTTGACCTGCCAGCTATTCAAAACAAAACCTTTATATATATAGAAGGTTATATATTATATAATATGTTGAGCCGGCATAAACTCAACAATAATTATCGTAGAATCGTTTCACAGATTTTTTAAACACATTGACAACTAAAGATAAAGATAAGATATTTCTGGAAATACTTTCTAAAATAGCCGTTTCATAACGTTCATTGACCTTTTCCTCTTGTGTGTGTATGTCGTATTCAATGCATTTTCTTGTTATTTTTATACACATTTCACATATTCCCCAATAACAAGTTCTCAATTTTCTTCCTTCATTACAGGGTGAACGCGCCACTGGTTACGGTGTGGCATTGCTGCTAACGCTCTTCGGTAACTATACAAAATGCAGTATGTTGCAATCGATTGCACCAAACGAAGCGGAACCGCCAACGAAGCGTGTTTGTCGTGATTATACAACCAAAATAAAGCAATCCTTACAATAAACACCAAAACTCCACAACAATCAATTTTGTAGTGTAACAACAAACAAGTCAAACCAAGTGTAGTAGAGTATAAAAATGAAAAGGGAGTGCGATATAATTTTTTGAAATTCAATACAGTAAAAAAAAAATAAAATAAAAATGTAATAAATAAAGTAAAATACAAAATTATTTTCTTTAAATCCACTGTGTTTATTTTCTTACAAGGGAATAATAATAATTCTGATTTTGTAAATCCATATTATTTTTAAAAATTCAGACAAGAGACAATGTCGACGAAAGGACGGGATAAGTTACCGACTGTTTGTTTGAAGCTCCCCTTTTTAGGATGCGATCAACGGCCATGCTTTCGTCTGTCCATGCACCTTGTCATTTCTTAGACCCCATACATGAAAAGCTTAGCTGGCTTCCGCCTCTTTTTTATTTATCGCGCAGGCAATTATTATCTAATCTCGCCACAGTCCGGTATGGAACTTTAGATTTCAGACTTATCATATCTGTATATTATATAGTGTTACCGCTATGAACTCAGTGCTTTGTGAACGTAGGTCATGAGATTACCATCTTGGTCCTTACTTGAGACTGTATTGGAGCATTCTGTAAGACGATTCATTGTTTCATGGAATTTACCTCTGCGGACAGTTTCTCAAGATTTTCATACTCGTGCATATCGTCCTATTTCTTTTTTGTATACAAATACCGCAATCGGTGTTAGGTACTCTTATATCCAAACACTGGATGCCTGTCTTCCGTTTTTCATAGCATAACCAATTTTTGATCCACTGACAGCCTTTAGCTAATCTTCTTTGTCCCGGAATCTGTTGTTATAGACAACCATATTCGGTGCAACGGTGATGCCGACCAGCTTCAATCCATTTGGGGATCATACCTTATGAAGGCAGATTTTCCGATTATTTATTTTTACCCTCTCTGGTGCCAAGCACGATTCTCATATCGTGGCGGGCTCATCGCTTATACTTGTGTTCTAGGTATCATCCACCGGGGTGAATGCGAGTATTCGGCGACGGAATATTTCTTCACCCATAAATGCAACACCAAATTCGCACTCTAAACGTATGCAGAGGTCATAATTAAAAGAGGGGGCCTCTTTCTCTCTGAAGCCCATTTTTACAATGCTTCATTAGACAGGGTTCGCCTCCCAGTGAATTTTCGTTGGATACCCAGAGCACAACCAGTCTAAGACGGAAGTTACAATATTAGCCGCTTGAACGATATGTGAAAGAATCTCTTTTGGCCACTACCAGACAAAAAACATTAAAAAACTTTCGCCACTTGCACAGACTCATAGCCCAGTCTCCAAAATAAAGTAAAATACACACAATAAAAAGGAAATGAGGAACCAAAAGGTTAATGTATTTATATACATTTCTGGTCGAATGCTTCCAGAATTTTATTTTTCGAAATTTCCGGTTTGGTTCATTCTGAGTTCGTTCCAACGGGACAGACGGTCAATAAAGAGTATTATTTGAGGGTTTGCGCGAAACATCCGACGTAAACGGCCGAAATTGTGGGCCAACAAATTCCGAAACCTTTCAGGGCGTTAATCCGCCATCTCACCGAACTGTAGTTGTGAATGGTTTTAAGACCAAAAACTCGTTCATTACCATCGATTTTTGTTTGTTTTCGAAACTTAAGTTACCACACCGTGGAACACGTTTCGAGGGAACTGAGGTCGACTGGTTTCAAAAGCTGTTGCAAACAGGCTGGTTTTTCAGAACTGAAAAATAATTAGCGCCGGCACTTTAAATGACAATTTCCGGTATCGTTCTGGTCTTAAAGTAGCGAAATTTCAATAAAAAAAGAACAAAACAAAAATACAATAACCCGAAATTGCAAAGATAAAAACATAAAAACGTCTGATAAAAACAAAAATTTTAAAGACGATACAAAAAAATAAAATATAAATAAGAATACGAAACAAACATATTCCAATAATGAATGATAATGAAATTAAAATTTTAAAAGAAAAATTTATAAAATAAAAGGCTTTAAATAAGAAATAAAAATAAACACGAAAACTTAAGAAAAAATTATGTTAAATTTAGAAGGTTAGAATAATGAATAAATAAAAATAAAAAAAGAATTAAAATATTTAAAACAAAACTAATAATAAAATAAAAATTATAAATATAGAAATTAAAATGAAAGTAAAATAAAAATAATAAAATGAAACAAAAAATAAATAATAATTATAAAAGCAATAAAAAAAGAAAAAAATTAGAGCTAACAAGCATAAACCAATAACAAAAAATTACAAAAATTACGTCTGATAAAAATTTAAATATTTAAAATTAAAAATAATAAAAATATGAAATTAAAATAACATTAGAGAGATATTTAAATTTAAAAACGAAAAAATATTAAGAATTAAAAGACTAAAAATAAAATATTCTTAAATAAAATAGGTTAATAAAAAAACGAAGTTTTCAAATTAAAAAATTAATTTAAAAGAATTTGTAGATATATTAAAAACAAAAATAAATAAAAATAATAAAAAAAAAATTATAGATATAATTTTATGTTACAAAGATAAAAATGATATAAATAAAAATATTAAAAAAATAAGAATAATATAAAAGCAAACATGAACATCAAGACATCAAATAAAATAAAACAATCAATAAATAAATGATAGTCAGATAAGAACAATAAATAAATAAAAAAATAAATAGTAAATCAAAAAAGAATACGTCTGATAAAAAATTTAAATATTTAAAACTAAAAATAATCAAAATATGTAATTAAAATAACATTAAAGAGATATTAAAAAATAAAAACGAAAAATAAAAAATTAAAAGAGTGAAAATAAAATATTTTGAACTAAAATAGAAATTTGAAATAAAAACAAAGTTTTCAAATTAACAAATTGAATAAAAAGAATGAGCATATTAAAAACAAATATAAATAAAAATAATAAAAAAATTATAGATATAATTTTATGTTATAAAGTTAAAAATAATAAAAATAAAAATATTAAAAAAATAAAAATATCAAAAAAATTAGCAAACATGAACACCAAAACATCAAATAAAATAGATGAAAAATAAAATTAAATAAAAAAATTGAAATCTTATAGGAAAAAATATAGAAATAAAAAAAACTAAACCAAAAAATTTTAATAGTAAAAGTAATAAAGCATAAAAATCATAATTATTAAAATAAGTCAGTCAAATCAGAAAAAACTCAATGCAATAAAAGACAAAAAAAAACATTGAAAAATAACAACAGCTGTAGAGATAAAATCAACGGCAGCAATCATCAACTCATACTTCGTAACTCCCAATTGTTTATTCTCATTTTCAAATTTCAATTGTAAACGATATTTTATTCTCGGACCACTTCCCTTCACATTTTGTTTGAGAATAAATAAAGAAGAATGCACAAAAAGATGAAATATTTATGTCTTTTTATTTAATTTCGCTGCGTCAAACAGCTTTTTCGCTTGATTGTCCACTGATTTGCCATTGCAATTACGTTGAACAGTTGTTGAAGAGTAAAATCGAAATGTGATATTGCCATAAGGACATGAATAGGTTTTCTTTTATTTCTAGCTTTTGCGATGTACAGATTGCGTATGTACATACATACATACATATCAATGTTTTTGCGGTCACCTTGCTTTCCAACAATTATGTATGTTGTCGCATTATTCCCCCTTCATACATACAAACGTACTATATATGTTTTTACGTTTAGCTCATATTTCTTGTTGTAAAGTTGAGTTTTTACTATTGACTAGCAAAGATAAAATGCTTAGATGGTAGAAAAAAAGTGGAAAAACTGCATTGAAGTAATTTGTCTTAGCCAAACGAACTGTAACATTTCCCTTTTCTTCTTCATCGTCTTCTTTACAACAGACATTTAAAACTTGTTTGCACACAAATTGTCTGTGTCCTTCCTTACAGGCCACCGACGACTTCGCATTCATCGACTACAATTTAATGACTTCGAAATGAATACATGTAAAGTCAATATCATTTTTACGGCCTTAGATTGCCTTAGCAACTGAATTTATAATAATAAATTGTAAAAGGATTTTAGAAATGTAAATTTATTCACAAAAACAAAAATTGGTTGAAGAGGGGTAAAAAAAATAGAATTTTCATAAAACCCAAGAAATCACCAAGTCATATTGTGGTTAAGCAAATGTTCGGATATACATATATATATATATATATATATGAGTGATTTTCACAAATCTGAAAGTGAAAATTTCTCAATGTTCATACACATGCACAGCCATATATATACAAAAATGGAATGCATCTTAGAGAAGCTATAAAACATTTTCTGAATCTCCCACAAAATGGTTTGCTAGATAGTTGACATTTTTATAGCATACTTTGCGGCATTGAAGCATGCAAGTTTACTTCACTGACCATATGAGCATAATCAATTGTTTTTCCACACTCAACATATATGTATGTATAAATGTATCAACTAAACAAACCACAATTTATATTGTTATCCTTACAACATTCATAGGCATCCACTCAAATTTTCAAAATTTTTTTTTTCATTTATCAAGTGATGAAATCCAATAAAATTAAGTTTTTCGCACAAATACTCACACACACACACACACACACACACACATACACATATGTACGAGTAAGAAAAATGAGAGAAATAATAAGAAAAAATAACAATTTCCACGCAGTTGAGCATATAAGAAAACAAAACCAAGCAAAGCAAGCAATTGGTGAACAAAAGAAAGGTCACACAAACTACGAAGCATCGTTACAGTGATTGTCCTTTGCCATACCATAGCAAGACACAAAATAAACAGTCAGCCATTGTGACAGCCAACCAACTAGCCAAGCTAGCTGGTGTGATTGCTATTAGAAGAAACACATATTCTCGAGATGTGGACGGTCGTTATGGGCTGAGAGAGGCAAGGAGGATACACTTGTGCAAACAAGAATATTATAGTACAATACCGGCAAAAGACAACACTGTTGGTTATTATGGTACATGTGGCAGTGCATATGTACATACTTACATATATACACACATACGTACCAATATAAGTAAACTTATGTATGAGTAGAAGCTGTAGGCGAAAATATTGCACAAGCATATTTCCAAGCGAAATTTCTCAAGGAAATTTTGCTTTAAAT